GTCTCTCTATGGCCTTCGACAAGCACCTCGATGTTGGTTTTCCAAACTCACCAATGCTCTCCGTGCGTATGGGTTTGTTCAGTCCAAGGCCGACTATTCCCTGTTTTATGCTTTATTTTTGTTTAATTCCTTCATTCCTTCAAGTTTCTTCCATTTATTTTGGTCCCAAACTTCCATGTTTATTTTCCGTCCTTGCAATTATCCTAAATGCATCCAAATGACCTCAAAATGCCTGCAAAACATATAAAACCAAGCATAGGACCGCTCTACACAAATAAAACGGAAAATTGAAATAAAATATAAATATTAAATTCAATTGGGACTCAAAACTCCTTCAAAATATGTCTAAATAGTGTATAAAATATGTGCATATCACCTCTCTTGCCCAATCTATCCCCACAAGCCATACTACCCAATATCTCTGCTTCCATTCCCACCGACACTGACGAACCCGAAGCCAGCCACGCTGACAGTGAACAACCCGAAGCCACCCCTGCCGATCAACCAGTCATTTTACCTGAACCCAATCCTGACCAGTCTCCGGCTAGGGATCCTCCTCGCCGCAGCCAACCCGATCATCGTCTCCCGTCACATCTTCGTGACTTTGTCATGCACACTGTTAGAAGTACACCAGCTTGCTCCACCGTTCCTCTCCCAACTTCAGGTACGGCTCATTGTATTACAAAGTTTGTTACCTGTGATAATTTTTCTTCTACCCATCGAAGCTTTTTGGCAGCAATTACTGCAGATGAGGAGCCCACTAGCTTCAAGGAAGCGGTTCAACATCCTCAATGGCGTGCCGCCATGAAGGATGAACTAGACGCTCTTGCCGCAAACAGAACTTGGTCCCTGGTTCCTCTACCACCGCATAAAAAGGCCATCGGCTCCAAATGGGTTTATAAAATTAAACATAAATCCGATGGCAGTGTTGAACGTTATAAGGCCCGTCTAGTCATCCTCGGCAACCGGCAGAAAGAAGGCATTGATTACAAGGAGACATTTGCTCCCACCGCCAAACTGGTGTCTGTCCGCGCCTTGTTGGCCGTGGCTGCCGTGCGGAACTGGAGTCTCCATCAAATGGATGTCCATAATGCGTTCCTCCACGGTGATCTTCAGGACGAAGTTTACATGCAACTTCCCCCGGGTTTTGCATCTCGACGGCAGGGTTTGGTTTGTCGACTGCACATGTCTCTCTATGGCCTTCGACAAGCACCTCGATGTTGGTTTTCCAAACTCACCAATGCTCTCCGTGCGTATGGGTTTGTTCAGTCCAAGGCCGACTATTCCCTGTTCACTCTCGTTCGCGGTCATATTGAACTCCGGGTCCTTATTTATGTCGATGACTTGGTGCTTGCTGGAAATGATGAAGGATTTATCTCCCAATTTAAACAATATCTGTCTGAGTGTTTTCATATGAAGGACCTTGGGTTGCTCAAATATTTTTTGGGTGTTGAGGTCGCCCGCAACGCTTCCGGCCTCTTTTTATCTCAACGGAAATATGCACTTGATATTCTCTCCGACACTGGTCAGGTTCTCGTGCGCACGTTGTGGTATGATTATTTATAGGCTCATCCACATGGACACGGTCCGGCCTTAAAAGTGGTTTGACCCACATGATAAAAACGTGACAGTACTTGGTCAGAGTACGTCGATATATAAATCTTGAACTTTTACTTAGTCCACTAATTTGTTTGATTAACCCTAGTACGGTCATTTAAATAAAACACTTTTTAATGTTTTCAAACATAAACCATTTTGAAATCATTTAATGGTTCACGTCCCCTTTTGAATCAAAACACTTTATTTCGTAGATTTCTTCTTGCAAAGTAACATGTGTATACATTTTATCTACTTATTTCATTTTCGGCCATTTCACTGTTTTAAATAACCTTTAATTACGGAGTAATTATTTAACTTCTTATGTATGTCTTAGATTAGTTTTTTTACTGACAAAGTATACATTATTGTTTAGATAGGAAAAATAAACCTTGTAAAAATATCTTGAGTACAGCAAATATATAAAACAGGTTACAGTAAGTATGTAAAACAAATATTCAGTACTCCGTGGTTTATTGTCTTCACTATTGTCAACAATGCCATTTAGATATTCTTTTTTTTAGTGTATATAGTTATTATTATTAGTACCATACATATGGTTCAATTAGTTTTCAAATACTCCGTGGTTTATTCTTGATTTGGAAAAAAACCATAAGAAAGAAAATAAACACTTTTTTTTTAACAATACCGATTGTGTTTTTTTTCCTGAGTGCACTAGTGTTTTTTTTTACAAAAACAAGTTTGTTTTTCCTCTCTGGTTCGGTAGGAAGAAAAACATCACTGGAAAACTTTATCATATGTTTTTTTACCGTACATATGTTTGTTAAATTTTTTTTTAAAAACATACTTTACATATATATAGATAAATGCACACAACAAAAAAACTAGAACCTAAGAGAATATTCATATGTAAGTTTATACGTATGAATGCAAGGATTTAGATTTAAAATAATATGCACAAAATATATGAACATGATATATATATCTAAAGGTTAGGGTCAACGGCACACCTTTGATATTAGTTAGACGAAATAATAGATTGATGAATGACAACGTTGCAAGATGATCGATCTCGTGACAGCATCGATCCCCCACGTCTCTCTCTCCCTCAACAAAGCCACAAACCGTTCTTAATCACCTACTCTCTAAATCTATACATCCTTTTCTTCTCTTGATGTGGTCATGAGTTTCTCTTGTTATGAGAGTCTATTTATAGTGAGGAAGGAGAATTCTAGAAAGTGAAGGGGAAAGTGAAGAGATAACATATTTACATTAATTAAATTGTTGAATAATTGAATAAGAATTTCACTCAAGGAATCACTGCCAGTGACTATAATGTCATCCACATAGAGCAAGACAATGAGCACACCACGATCAGAATGCCGCACGAAAAAACTTGTGTCATGCTCGTTTCTCCCAAAGCCATAATCGCAGAGAAAGCCAGAGAGGCGCTCGTACCAAGCTCTAGGGGCTTGTTTAAGGCCATATAAGGACTTGTGTAACTTACACACAAAGTGAGGATGTGCCTGATCAATATACCCAGGAGGCTGCTTCATATAAATTTCATCGGGAACCACACCATGAAGGAAGGCATTAGAAACATCCAGCTGATGTAATG